TGGATAATGTCCTGAAGAGTATTTTCCAGCTTGGATTCATTCTCTTCGTCCCCTTCTGGTACACCTATCAAACGTAGTTTAGGTCTTTTCACATAGTCCCACATTTCTTGGAGACTTTGTTCATTCCTTTTTGCGCTTTTTTCTCTAATCTTGGTTTCTCGTTTAATTTCATTGAGTTGGTCTTTGACTTCAGATATTCTTTCTTCTGCTTGGTCAATTCGGCTATTGAAACTTGTGCATGCTTCGTGAAGTTCTCGTATTGTGTTTTTCAGCTCCTTTAATTCATTCATATTCCTCTCTAAGTTATCCATTCTTGTTATCATTTCCTCATATCTTTTTTTAAGTTCCTTAGTTTCTTTGCATTGATTTAATACATGTTCTTTTAGGTCACAAAAGTTTCTCATTATCCACCTTCTGAAGTCTAATTCCATCATTTTGTCACAGTCATTCTCCGTCCAGCTTTGTTCCCTTGCTGGTGGGGAGTTTTGGTCCTTTCTAGGAGGCGAGGTGTTCTGGTTTCGGGTGTTTTCCTCCTTTTTTCGCTGGTTTCTTCCCATCTTTGTGGGTTTATCCCCTTGTCGTCTGCGTAGTTGGTGACTTTTCGATTGGGTCTCTGAGTGAACACCCAGATTGTTGATGATGAAGTATTTCTGTTACTTGGTTTTCCTTCTACCAGCCTAGCCCCTTCGCTGTACGACTGCTGAGGTCCACTCCAGGCCCTGCTTGTCTGGGGTGCACCTCTAGCAGCTGTGGCACAGTGAGGGATGCTACCTGTTTCTTTTTCTGCTATCTTTGTCCCAGGATGATGCCTGCCAAATGTCAGTCTTTTGGATATAGAGGGGTCAGGGAGCTGCTTGAGGAGACAGTCTGTTCTTTTTAGGAGCTCAATTTCTGAGCTGTGAGCTCTGTTGTTCATTCAGGGCTGTTAGGCTGCTATGTTTGATTCTGCTGCAATAGAGCTCATTAAAAAAACCCTTTTTTTCTCAAATGCTCTGTGTTGGGGGGTTCGGGCTTTATTTTTTGATGTCCGTTGAGGTGTGCTGCCCAGCTAGGAGGCAGACTAGCCACTGTTTGCCTGCCGAGTCTCCGCCCTGCTGTTGTGTGATTCGCCCTGTTCCTGCAGGCTCTGCTGTGGTCTCTGCCACGCCCTGTGGTGGAGTATCTTCGTTGTAGCGTGTTGCCTCAGCAACGGCAGGCTGCGTCTGCAGTGGGTGTGTATCTCAGTAGGGACGGGTTGCCTCGGCAACGGCTGGCTGCGTCAGCAGTGGGCGTGTATCTCAGTTGGGGCGGGTTGCCTTGGCAGTGGTGGATGCCCCTTCCCCACAGAGTGTCTCGGACCGTCTGCTCGGGATAGTTTGAAATCGCGGTTTTGTTCGTCCCACTGGGTACCCTGAACGCTCTGTCCCTGCAATCCCCTGGGCTGGCCTACTGTCCAAGTCTCATTCAGTCTCAAGTCCAGCCCTCTCAAGTCTCAGGTTGCCGGTTCAACAGGGCACCCGGACAAGCGCACCCTGTGGGGATTGCTCGGTAGGGCCGGCCGCCGCCGCCCCGGCTGCCGGCTTAGCCAGGCAGACTTACTGCCTGGCGTCCCATGTCTTTTTTATACTTGGGAGTTTCCCCGTTCTGTGGGCAACAAAGATCAGTCTGGAAATGCAACTCCGACTCACCTCTTTGCAGATTCAACGAGAGCTCCAATCCTGGGTTGTTCTCACAGCGCCATCTTGAGTCCTCCGTCCATTTATTTGTTTTTATGTGACCCCCTCTGTGGCCTAAAAGAAAATCCTAACTTACAGGTTAGAGGTAGGGCCACTCCATGTCTGGACAATGAACAGCTGGTAGCAACCTGTGTTTAGTAGACTTAGGGACATGAAATAAATGCTTACATTTTGTTTATCTTTTCCTCTGGGACAAAAGAAGGTAGAGGTTTACTTGCTTCCTCTTACCACAGGCTTCTATCAATGGGATGGTGATGGGGTTTTCCTCCACCCAAGTAACTTTCTGATTCTCCAACAGCAGCTGGGAGTCCTAGAATCTGACTCAATTCTGACCCTAACTACCTGGAGTTCGTCTCAGATTCCACAGGTTTAAGGGCTCAGCCCCACAAGACTGTCCTCACGTCAGATGCAAGTCACAAGTATCGGGTCCCACGTTAGCTACACTTCTGTCTGACATGGCTGCAGAGTCAGGGGTTTCTCACCTCCCAAGCCTTGATAATTCTTAAACTTACTTAAAGAACTCAGAAAGTTGCTATTTTCATACAAACCATAAAACATCCAAAACAGTTCTCAATCAGTTTAGAAGTTTATTTTCCCAAGCTGAAGATGCACCTTGGAAAAAGACACACAAATCATTGTAGCATCTGTGGCCCACGCTTTTCCTAAGAGGGTTTTGAGGGCTGCAATATTTACAGGGGAAAATCAGGCAGGAGAGTAAGAAGGAACAGTCAACTATGCTTTCATCTCGTGCTCAGTAAATCTACATTTTACATGAAATAAAGTAAACTGTGGGGTAGAAAAGTCAAATATGCATTTGTCTCTGGGTGGGTAGAGGGATGATTTCTAGTCTTGTTTTTTCTGTGCCTGTGAAGATCAGCTGTTAATTTATATTGTCAGAGGAAATTCAACAAAACTCTGTTTTAGAATAAAGATATTGGGCCCCACAAGGAATTATCCCATGAGCAATTTGTGAGGGAGGCCACATGGGGAGAGATGTGATCTTCTATCTTTGTGGTTAGTTGTGTAGGAACAAAAGAAAGGCAGTTTTTCCATCACTCAGTTTCCAAACTTAACCTTTTCCTTTGGTATAGTGAGTTTGGAGTTCTGAAATTTTATTTATTTATTTTTTTTATTTTTTTGAGATGGAGTTTCGCTCTTGTTACCTAGGCTGGAGTGCAATGGCGCAATCTCGGCTCACCACAACCTTCGCCTCCTGGGTTCAGGCAATTCTCCTGCCTCAGCCTTCTGAGTAGCTGGGATTACAGGCATGCACCACCATGCTCAGCTACTTTTTTGTATTTTTAGTAGAGACGGGGTTTCACCTTGTTGACCAGGATGGTCTCGATCTCTTGACCTCGTGATCCACCCGCCTTGGCCTCCCAAAGTGCTGGGATTACAGGCTTGAGCCACCGTGCCCGGCCCTGAAATTTTATTTTTTTTCATACTCAGTATTGCAGTTTATGATTGTCATAGCTTAAATCAGCTGTCGCCAACTTTTTGGCATCAGGGACCAGTTTCATGGAAGACAATTTTTCCATGGACTAGCAGAGGTGGTGGGGGTGGAGGGGAATGGTTTCAGGATGAAACTGTTCCACCTCAGATGATCAGGCATTAGTGTTTCATAAGGAACATGCAACCTAGAGCCCTCACATACAGAGTTCACAATAGTGTTCATGCTTCCATGAGAATGAAATTCCGCCACTCATCTGACAGCAGGCGGAGCTCCTGTGCTCATGCTCTCTTGCCCACCAATCACCTCCTGCAATGCGATCTGGTTCCTACCAGGCCAGGAATTTGTACCAGTCCACAGCCCGGGGCTTAGGGACCCTGGTTTAAATTATGCCACTATAGAAGAACACTTGAGACTAGATGACTTATAACAAATAGAAATTTATTTGATTCATGGTTATTGAGGATGGGAATTCCAAGATTAAGAGATTGTATTTGGTACAAAGCAAAAGGGCAAGAGACGGTGAGAGTTAGAGGGAAAACGAGGTCAAACTCACAGCCTCAGATCCTTTCATGATCTGACTTAATCCATTAATGAGGTCAGAGCTCTGATGATCTAATCACCTCTCAAAGGTCCCACCACTTAAAGATGTTGCATTGGGGATGAATCATCCAACAGATGCATTTTTGGACAAACATTCAAACCACAGTGGTTATAAAGGATACAAATGAGCAGCCAGATGAAGTGTGCACAGGGTGAGGTCTGGAAGGGCTCTGAGCACAGGAGCCTCTGTTCTGATGGAGATGAGGTGCACCATCCTCCCAGCACATGGACACACAGATGTGTTCACCAATTGGAAAGCTCTCCAAAACCCAATCTCTAGAGGTTTCTATGGAAGTTTCATGTGTAGGCAAGATTAATTAAATCACTGGCCATTGGTGACTGAACTCAACCTCCAGCCCTGCTTTCCTTTGCAAAAGTAATTGACTGGGCTGAAAGTTCCAATTCTCTAATCATAGCTTCATGCTTCTGGCAAGCAGCCCCCATCCTGAAGCTACCTAGGGGCTCCTCAGCCCGTGGTCATCTCATTGCCATGTTAAAGTCATGCTTATCACTGAGGAGACTGCAAATGTTTTATAACCTGCTTGTCAGGAAACAGGGACAAAACCAAATATTTTGATTGGACCACAGATCACACCCTAGTCTTTGACCACATTATCTCTTTTATAATATTTATATATTTATTTTAGAGACAAGGTCTTGCTCTGTTGCCCAGAGTAGAATGCAGTGGCACAATCATAGCTCACTGTAACCTTGAATTCCTGGGCTCAAGTGATCCTTCTGCCTCAGCCTCCTGAGTAGATAGCATCACAGGTGCACACCACGTGCTTAATTAATTTTTAAATATTTTTATAGGGATGGAGTCTCACTATTTTGCCCAGGCTAGTCTCAAACTCTTAGCCTTAAACAATGCTCCTACCATGGCCTCCCAAAATGATAAAATTGCAAGCATGAGCCACTGTGCCTGGCCAATCACAGGTCTCCTATATCGGAGGAATCATAACAGTAAAAAAAACCTGGCACATTACCAGAATCCTGTTTGGTCATTAACAATTATCCCGGTGTAGTCCAAAAACAGGAGTAGTCTCAGCAACATGTAGATGCACCCTTTCAGGCATCTGGTAAAATTGATCTAAGAGACAATATCATCTTTTGCTCATGCCTCTTTCGAGTAGTTCATTTTACATTGGATTTTCCTCATTACATAACCCATTTATTCATTCGTTTACCCTCAGCTATTTCTCCTTTTCTTCTTTTATACCAAACATTTCCAGCTATGGAAGGAACATGAGGTTCTGCTGCTCTGCTGGCCTACACTGCGGGGAGCAATACTGTTTTAGTAAGTGTCTCCCATCAGCCCATTCCAGTTAACAGACGTTAGGGTTATGCAGGTAGAGAACTGGTTGGCTATCTGACCCCAGGCAATACAGCTGCATTCAGTGCTAACCCCAACTTATCCAGATGCACTGAACGCACAACCTCCTTCTCCAGGCCCTCAGGAATTCTTGCATTACAGACATAAAATATATTTACAGTTTCCTGCTTAGGAATAATTCCTGTTTCTAGACTGTATTTGCATCCCTAGTCCTGGGACCATCAGGTATGAGAAAAGCAAGATGAGGTAAAGTAGAGTCATCATTCCAGTGTCCTCCTACCTTGGGAAGGACTGTAGGTAGATCACACCAGCACCTTCCCCTGCTCCACCAGGAAAGGAGAGATAATGTCATGTCAAATGTGAGCTCATTCATGAAGGTGTGTAAGCTCACCCTTCATGCTTATGTCTCCCCACTCCTGCTTTATACAGTCAATGTTTCAATGGGCTATTTTAATTCTCTATGGAACTCTTCCTCTGAGGAAGCTATTTCTCTGACCATTGTTGGACATTGTGGGGAAGTGTGTTTCCTGGTGTAATGTGGCTCAGTGGTCCACATGGTGGCAATACCTCCCATTCAGGTTCATTTTTTTTATTGTCTCTGCTTATCTCTGTCTCTTTTCTTGTAACACTTTTTTTTTTTTTGAGGCACAGTCTTACTCTGTCTCTCAGGATGGAGTGTAGTGGCACCGTCTTGGCTCACTGCAACCTCTGCCTCTCAGGTTCAAATCATTTCTCTTGCCTCAGTCTCCCAAGTAGCTGGACTATGGGCAGGCTGTATTTCTAGTTTCACCATGTTTTCCAGGCTGGTCTCAAACTCCTAACCCCAAGTGATCCACTCATCTCAGCCTCCAAAAGTGCTGGGATTACAGGCATGTGCCACTGCACCCAGTCTTGTTAAATAGAATAGTTCTTATGAGTATTTTGCACCTGTGAGGTGGGGAATGCAAGAGGAATATGTCTTGATTCAGCCCATCTCTGCATTGCTACAGCCCCGGAGTCTACTTATTTCATGGACCCAGGCGATCTTCACAAACAACATAAATTTTTTTCTGAGATGTGGTCTTAATACATTTGCCAGACTCAAATATTTATCAGGCTAAACTCAAATGCCTGTACTCAAGATATCCTTCTGCCTCAGCCACTTTCATAGCTGGAATTACAGGTGCACCTGGCAAGCACTTAGAGATAAATGCTTGTTCATTTCAATCATCTTTCAGACCTGGAAGGGAGTTATTCTGATGAGCATTGAACAGCACCAAGGGAATGATGCTGAACCAGTCATGAGAAACCATACCATAATCCAATTACTTTCCACCTAAAATGCTGGGGATCACATCTTGACATGATATTCGGGCAAGAACAATATTCACTCCCTATCAGGCATCAATGTGTTTTACATTAATGCACCTCTCAAATTACCATAGTGATGTCCATAGGACTGTGTCCCATAGGGCATTCTTTTCATAGGCTAGTTTTCCATTCCTCTCTTGATTAATTATATGGCTAGGCCATCAGTCACTGCCCATAAGTCAGTAAAAACTAAAACATAGGAGCTTTTATCATTGTTCAAGCCTTCCATCACTGCTAAGAAAATACTATGCAATTCAGCCCGCAAGAGTTGTTCTGTTTTTATTGTCTTTGATCAAAGGGGAGGACTTCCGAACAGGATGTTGTCCATTCATCTTGCAAATGTTGTACACGAACAAACCAGCTCTTTATGGGTCAGAAGATTGATACTGCAGTTCAGATCCCAGGGCAGAATTCCATCTTGCTTGGGAAAGGTCAGTGTTTTAGTCAATTTACACTTTTAATGAATTGAATGAAGTCCATTCATTTTATAGAGGGCAATCTACTTTGCTCAAAGTACAGCAATTTGTATGTTAATCTTATCCAAGAAAGAGCCTAAAAACATCCTCCAGAATAATGCTTTAACACCTACCTGGGCACCAGGTCTAGATGACAAATAAAATTATTTATGACATTCTTTAATACAAGAATATTCTAAGGAAATTAGCCTTTGACCTAATAAAATAAGGAATAAACAACTGTTTCTGAAAATTTATAACCAATCATCAACAAACTCTCCCTACAGATTGTTTCTCAAGTGTAGTTTATAATTGTGGGTGAATATAACATATATTTATTCAAAACCAAACAAAGAGAGAAAATTGAAAATGGAGAAAATTAAAAAAAACATAAGAATAATAATAAAGATGACAGCAGTTATTTCATTGGAAACAGTGCAAAGGAGGAGACAGATGAGCCACATCTCTAAAGTTCTGAAAGGAAAATGCTGTCATACTAGATGTTATTTTCTGAAAAAAAAAAAAAAAAAAATCCTTTAAAGCATATATGTAATATGCATAATTTTAATTGACAAATAATGATATATTGATGAGGAACTGTGAGTTATACTGGGATTTATGTATACCATGCATAATGATTAAATCAGGCTCTTTAACACACCTTAAGAACATCTATCAAAAAATAAAGGGATTTTAGACTTATAGGAAGTGAAAAAATTTACACTGTAATAATGAACTGTAATAAATAAACTGTAATAAATGTTTCACCCCTTCAGGCAAAAAGAAAATGATACCAACTGCAAATATGTAATGAAGAGCAGCAGAAATGGTAAGCATGTGGGTAGATACATAAGATTTTTTCATAATTTTAAAATCTTATTAAGAGACAATTGTAATGCCTTTACCAAAAAATGGTAGAGAACTCCAAAAACACACTCCCCTACTAAAGCAACTATTAACCTGGAAAAAACTATCAGAATTAAGTTATTCTGTACTCTGGAGTCTATGAAAAAACTTTTTACAACAACCAAAGTAGTGCTTAATGAAAAAGAAGCTCTAAATTTTGGTAAGAGAGCATGGTGACACTATTCCTTAGCCACCTACTCACTCCCACTCCCACACCCTCAGCTATGAGGTAGCCACGGGGACAGTGGCCACATTCCTGGTGTAGCTTCCTGATGCCAGAAGAGGCAAAATGGAGTTTCTTCTCAAAGAATTGTGTTTGTGTCCTTTGACAGGTATGATAGCCCCCAAAAAGATCAGCTCAAAGGCTGGTCTTTGCTTCACTCCTCTTGGAACTTTATTAAGATTGGAGTGGTCTCCATATTAATGTTTGTCAAAAGCATTTAAAGGCAAATACTAGTCATAGATGCCTGAGGCAAGGAATAACAGATGGGCAAAGAGCAGACTGACTGAAAAGGCTAGAAAGGTAGATGCTGAAGATAGAGATACGTAGGGCAATATGATATTCAAAATATCCTACATATGCTGAGAAAATCAGAATGCCACATACATAGCCAGGGCTAAACACATGCTTTAAAAGTAACTGAGATGACCTTAGGCTTTTACCTTTGGATGATCTTTAGCCTCTATATAAGCAGTCAATGAAGTTAAGGTGGATGTCTAAACTGACCGGTTATGTGTTGAAGGAGTGTCCCACCTCAGAGTCTATCCACAAAGTCTGAGAGGGCATTATTTATTTACTTTTTGGCTAAAGCTGTTTAAGGAAACCTCTGTCAAAACAGTAGCTGACCATAAAGCTAATAGAATACATTTCAGTGACTGTACATGGCAAAGAACAAGCTTAAAAAATAGTTTAGAAAAGTCACTAAGAAACAATTCCATCAACAAGAAGCTCTGGGGAATGGGAAAAATATAATATCCAGAGTTACCACATTGTTGTATTCAAAGTGGTCAGTTTTTATCAAAAAATCTTGAGGTATTCAAAAGTTTAAGAGAGTGGACCATTCACAGAAAAAAAAAAACACATCAGCAGAAGCTGTCCTTAAGAAAGCCAAGTCATTAGTTGGACGTACTAGACAAAGAAAGACTTTAAACCCATAGTCTTAAATATGTTCAAATAGATTTTTTAAAAGTTGAAAAGAGAAAAACAAATAAAGGTACCAGAAGAAAAATATCTCACCAAATAAAGGCCATCATTAAAAATATCATAAGGAAACTGAAATTCTAGAGGGGAAAGTATAATTACTGAAATAAAAAATTCATTAGAGATGTTCAATAGCAGACTTGAACAGGTAGAAGAAAGCATCAGCAAACTTGAAGACAAGTCATCTTAAATTGTAGACTGTGAAGAATACAAACAAAAAAAAGGAAAAAAGAAAAATAATAGTGAACAGAGCCTAAGGGACTTGTGGGACACCATCATGCTGATGAATACATGCAGAATTTAGTAGGCAGAAGAACCAGGAAATTGAAGATAAGCCAATTACAATTATGGAATCTGAAGAGCAGGAAGGAAAAAAAAGTAAAACAGCAAATGATCAGAGGCTATGACACCTCTGAACAGCATCAAGCGGACTGACAGATGTATAATGGGAATCCTCAAAGTAAAGGAGAGATGAAAAGAGACAGTAAAAATATGGGGTAACATAACAGGTGAAACCTTGCCCAACTTGAGAAAAATCTGTGCATCTACACAGTCACATTGAAGAACTTCAATGAAATCCAAGTGGAATAAACTCAAAGAGAGCCAAACCAAAATACATTATAACCAAACTGTTGAAATAAAAGCAAAGAGAACTTGGACAGCAGCAGGTAACAACACATTACGTACAAGGGATCCTCATTGAGATTAACAGCCAATTTCACACCAGAAAATGCCAAGGAATGTCAGAGTGGTATGACATGTTTAAATTGCTGCAAAAATAAAGCTGTCAACCAAAAGTTCTATATCCAGAAAACTTATTCCTCAAAAATGAGAATATATGGTTTTGCAAGATGAAAACAGTTTTGGAGATTGGTTTGCAAAACAGTGTGAATGTTCTTAGTAGTACTGAACAGTACCATTACAAATGGTTAAGATTGCAAAATTTATGTTATGTACATTTTATCACAATTAATGTTAAAATGAAGAAATTGAGATTTTCTACATAATAACAACTGAGAGTTTCCAATGCTAGCAGATCTTTCCTATAAGAAATACTAGTACAAGTCATTCAGGTTGAAATGAAAGGACACTAGACAATAGCCCAGAGACACATAAAGAAATTATATGCAAAAAACCTAAGACAATTTAATGTGGAAAAGCATACACTCTTCATCTAATGGAACTGTGACAATTGCATGTTCACATTCTAGAGGATGAAGCTGAGAGCTGGAAGTGGTGACCCCACCTGCAATCTCAGCATTTTGAGAGGCTGAGACAGGAGAATTGCTTGGACCCAGCAGTTCAAGGTTACCATGAGCTCTGATTGCACCACTGCACTCTAGCCTGGGTGATACACTGTCTCTACCAAAGGAAAAAAAAAAGACAGAAATTAAAACCCTACCTCACAGTATATGCAGAAATTGTCAAATGGATTAGAGACCTACATGTAAGGGCTAAAACAGAAAACTCCTAGAAGAAAAGAGAGTGGGCTTATTTTTAATAATTTTTTTCTGTTTGTCTGTTCCTGAACAAATACTTCACTCTTTTAATCACTGTGGCTTTCAAGTATCTGTTGATATCTGACAGTTTAAGTCCTCCAATTGTGTTCACTTCCAATATTGTTCTGGCTATTTTAGGTTCCTCATATTTTTGCATACATTTTAGAAGGAGCACGTTGATTCCCATAAAAAAAACTGTTGAGATTTTTATTACAATTGCATTGGTTTCATAGATCATTTTGCGGATAGATGGCACCTTGGCAATATTGTCTTCCTCACATATATGAAATAATTTTCTATTTAATTTGTCTTATCAAGGTCTTGTAATTTTGAGTAATGAGATTTTTGTATAACCTTTATATTTATTTCTAGGAACTTCTGTTTCTTCATGGTATTGTACATATTACTGTTTAAAGAATGTCAGTTCTCACCGTTTATTACTCATGTATAGAAATGTTACTTTTTGTTTTATATTGGCCTTGCCAAATTCACTTACTTTTAATAGTCTGTTTATAGAGCCTCTTAGATTTTCTTCATACACGATAATGTTTTCCTTGAGGAAGACAGTCATATTTATTATCTAATCTATTATTATTATTATTATTATTATTTGCTTTTGGTCACTCAGCACAATGTTAAATAAAAGTCACGATTACTGGTCATCCTTCTCTTGTCCCCAATTCAGAGGAGTGGGGATTATGATAACTACAATTCAACATGAGATTTGGGTGGGGAAACAGCCAAACCATATTTCAGTCTGCCTTTTATGTCTGTGGGTTCCACATCTGTGAATTCAACTACCTGAGGATTGAAAAATGTTATATTGCTGCTAATGTATACTATGCAGTTAGGACTACCTACAATGGTTATGTTCTTGTCTGTACATGAAGATGTATGGACATTGTCATTATTTTCTAAGCAATATAGTATAACAACTATTTACAAATCATTTACATTGTATTAGAAATTATAAGTAATCTAGAGATGATTTAAAGTATATGGAAGGATGTGCATAAATAATAGGAAAATGCTAGGCTACATTATATATGGGACCTGAGCATCCATGGATTTTGGTATCCACAGAGGTCCTAGAACCCATCTCAAAAAGTACCAAGGGAAGACTGAATAAGACTGACCAGCCTATTTTAAGTTTTTGAAAGAACTGACAGGGTAAAGAAATCTGGGCAAGGAATTTTCCTGGTGGGAAGGAATTTATTTATAACTCAATTTTTTGATGGATATGGGAGTATTTATATTTTCTATTTCGTTTTCTGTTGGCTTTGTTCAACCATCTTTTTTCAAGACCTCATGTCTTTATGCCTAAATTGTAAAAGGTCTTGCCATGAAGCTGTGTCTAACATTCTCTTCTTTTTGTTTCCATAAAATCTACAGTTTTATAATGTCCCTTCTCATAGTGTTCATTTGTGTTTTCTCTATTCTTATAATTATCTTTCAGGGGATTTTGAAATAAATTGCCCATCTTTTGCCTATTTTCCTTAACATATTAATCATAAATATTTAGAAGAATGTCCTTGCTTGCTGGCTTCAATATCCAGATCATCTCTGAGTCTGCTTCTGTTGATTATTTCTTCTCTAGTTGTTGCATTTGCTCTGCTGCTAGGCGTGGCACATATTCTAGATGATGTATTTTAGAGGTTCTCTGTTTTGTTATCTTCCTCCAAAGACTGCTAACAGTTTGACAGTTAGGTAATTATTGAAGAATCACCTGTAGTAAAAATCAGACCCACTTTGATTCTGCTTAGTCTTGATTTTAGCCTTTGCTAGATGGGTGGGTCTATTTCAGTGTGGTCCTTACTCCAAGGCCAGAGTCCTCACTTAGAGGGCTTCCCCATCCTGATATCTCAACACAGGTTTTGCAGGGCTAAACTTTCAACATCTCCTCACACAATGGAGCTTCTGACATTTCTACTTAGCATGCAATCTCCAAGCAGCTCTCCTCTGACGGGCTTCTTAGAGCATCATGTAGAGCATACGAAGCTTATGGGTGCAGATTTTGGGTGTTTCCTCTCTGAAACTCCTTCCCTCAGCACCCTACCCCTAAACCCCAGTCAGTATTCCAAGCCTGAACTCTGATCTCTGTTTCCTTTGCCAGTGAGATTGTTTTTCTCTGCTTGGGCTCCATTTCCCTTCATTGTATATTGGCAAATGCTTTTAGAAAGAAAGATGATGAGAATGTGAATCTCCCTTTCTGGAACTTTCATT